TTCTAAGCAGTTGTCATTCAGGACAAGTCCAACAATATTGGGTGGCCTCCTTGGTTCTTCCTGACTAATGAAATCTATCTAGGATTCACTACAAAAGTGAACAGCTAAATGTTCAGCTAATGGGCTTTCATAAGCCAACTGAAGGATTTGTTTTCAAACCATGAATTCTTCCAGGGTCTCCTTAGTGTCAAAATAGTTGGCCGCATAGGACTGGAAGCAACCATCAAAATAAAGTGTGGCTTAGCAGCCATCTGATGGTGAAGAAAGAACAGACTTCACAAAGGAAAAAGGAAAGCAGAGCCTACGCCCAGGAAGAGACTCTAGACCAGGTGTTCCAACCTTGGCAACTTTAAGACTTGTGGACTTCAATTCCCAGAATTCTGGCTGGGGAATTCTGGGAATTGAAGTCTGCAAGTCTTAAAAAGTTGCCAAGGTTGGACACCCCAGCTCTAGATCATCAGAAGCCAATACAGGCCACCCGATTCTTACAGCCAGTTTAGTCAATGTGCAAATATTCTCAATTGGACCAACCTACTCCAGATGCTTTGACATGCAACCGAGTCAACCCACATATCCTTCCCTACTAGTTGTTTATGAAGACGGTGAAGTTTCTGCAAGGTGGGTAGATGAGGCTTGGGTTTAGATTCTGGATTTCTGGCAGCAAAGCAGTAAGGGTCATTAATGATAAGCTCAGCCTCTCTGCATCTGTTCTCTTCAGTGCCTCATCTGTTTTTCCCTCATCTGAATATTCACAAGCCACTGGGAAGACATTTTCCCAAACACGAAAGCAGATGTGTTGGGCTAGAATTCACTTCACAAGGGAATGATGGGGAAAAGTGTCCAACATAAACAATGAGATCAGGAAAGGTAATATAGAATGTTGTTTATAAAAGCATCAAATAACCCAAGTCTTTTGTCTGCCATGGTTTAGAATCAATCTTTCAAAACCAGTTGTGGAGAATCACAGGCAGCTTATGGATGATTACATTAAACTGGGAACTGCATTGAGAAACCTTCAGGAATAAACATATATTCTTCAATTTCACAAAGCCCAGGGTTATCGTTACACTCCTGCTTCATAAAAGACACTAACCCATGAGTGACATTCCCAAAGTAACAAGGATAGGGGGCAAGGGGAGTGAGAGCTGACTGTCTCCGAAAACGGAACCAAATGAAAATTGGATTTTTTCCCCCAGAAAGTACAAGATGACATTCCCTCTGGAAGTTTAACAAACCAAAGAAATATAAACTAAAAAGCACCTGCAAAAGTCATCTTTAGCAATGGGACAGATGTTTCATGATTATAATGCAGAACTGAATCATGCCAAAATAAAACCAGAAAGTCAATGGGGAACACTAAACTTATTTTGCAGTCACTGAACTGGAGTGCTCCTGATCTGTTACTGCTGTAAACGTGGTCCTCGATTTACGATCAGAATTGGATCTTGAACTTCCACTGCTAAGCAAGGTAGTTGTTAAGAAGTCATGTCCTTTTTGCCACAATTAAGTGAATCATACAATTGTTAAGTGAATCATGGGGTCATTAAGCAAATCCAACTTCCCCCATTGACTGTTGGAAACTGGCCAAGAAGGTCAAAAATTGCAATCACATGATCCTGCAACCATCATAAATACATGCCCATTGCCATGCACCCTGAACTGTGATCATGTGATTGTAGAGATGTTACAACAGTTATATGTGTGAGGACCATTGTAAATCACTGTTTTCAGTGACACTGTAACTTAGAACAGTTGCTAAACCAATGGCTGCCATTCAAGGACCACCTGTATCCAATGCCTATGACGCTCTGCCAGCACAGAAAACTACAATTCAAATAAATTTGGATAGCAACTTGGGAGCACTAGCAGTTTGAAGTTTCTCTTACACCAGTCAAATGTAATTTTTTGCATCCATCTGGGGCAGGGGTCTTCAAACTTGGCCCTTTTATGATTTGTGGACTTCAACTGCCAGAATTCATCAGCCAGCATGCCTGGCTGAGGAATTCTGGGAGTTGAAGTCGACAAGTCATAAAAGGGCCAAGTTTGAAGACCCCTGATCTGGGGCACATCAGACGCTCGAAGTGTTAATTCCCAATTTACAAAAAAAAAAATAAAAAATGAAAAACTTATCACCTGAAAACTATTCCTTTTTAAGAGCATAAGAAAACCCATACAGAGCAGAGCCATATAGACACTGAAAATAAATATACAATGCTTCCCAACCTGAGGTATAGCAGATATTTTTAAAAAATATTTTAACAGATTTTTGTTCCGTATTTTAAAATCCTCACTTTTTACAAGCAACTTTGTACTTCAACTTCAGGAAAGCAACAACGCAACAAGATTGCAAGTTACTAAAAGTAACCTCCAGATTTGTCCAGCTACAATTCTCAGAATCCCCAGAATTCAATTACAATTCTCAGGTTCACAGACTGCACTTTAGAACATATCTGGAAGGCATCTAGTTGACCAACGCTGTACTAAAACAATAAAAAAACATTACTAACTGGTGTCTATGTCAAAATTTTGTTAGGGAAATTAAACAGGCTACTTACCCCAGCAAGACACTTTTCCAGTGTATCCAAAATAATCAACTGAGAAAGATACAAGTTCTTTTCAGCAGCTTCACTAAATATTCTCTATAAGAAAAAACATCAAAAGATCAGTTTAACTTTTGGTAACAAAGCTGACTTATACTGTCACCCATCTGATCAGCATATGCTACTTCCAAAAGGACATAACTTCCCTGATACCCTCTACAGCAGGCATGTCAAACTGCCGGCCCGCAAACCAGATGTATCACATCGAAACCGCGCCCACCCCATTGCCGGCAATGGGGAAAAAGTCGCAATATGTTGCGCGACATCACGTGATGTCGCGAGTTAGACATGCCTGCTCTATAGCTTTTGAATGAGTAACTTTATTACAGTTCATAGTTCCTCCAAACATATCAAAATAAGAATAAGATAAAATGTAGAGCAAAATAAAGAACAATCTATCCTCTACACCAGGGGTGACAAACTCGCAACGTCATATGACGTATCGCGACATATCGTGACTTTTTTTCCATTGCCGGCAATAGGATGGGTGCGGTTTTGCCATGACGCATCCGGCCCACAGGCCGGCAGTTTGACACCCCTGCTCTACACAGTAATCAGTAATCAATCCCAAAGTACAATTTCTGCAGACTGCAAAAGTAAATTTAATGACAACTTTGTGTCGTTTTAGCATCTTTGTCTGCCAGAATTTTGCATAGAATTCTTCTGGTTATCCACGAAGTTACCTAATGAGAGGCGTTAGAAAGTTGTAATGAGATGCGAGGTTACAGAAGTTACAATATAGATCGGCCGGTAGCCTTTAATTTTAATTCTTTCATGATCCTATCATGGTTTTTCTTCTATCCCATCCCAATTCTCTGGCAAAAGAAGACATACATCAATACACAACCAATTGTGTATTGGTTGTTACAAAATCAAATATTTAAAACCAATTTCTACTGCAACCATTTTATTCCATGTCACATCCGCTTCAGTTCTCTAATGTTTTATGTGAAATTACACTGTATGTTTTTCTTGGTTTTTTTTGGTTTTATGAAAAGTTCCATTGTATAGATAAGAACAATGTTATTATTTATCCTGGTTTTAACTGGTGTTGATAGGTTGGGGGGGGGGAAATCTTTGACATATAACTTTACAGATAGGAAATGAATGTATTGTATTTTCTCAGAGCTGCAAATTATAATATGCATCCAGTTCTCATTAAAGATACAATAACCCAATAGATATTTATCTACCTAGACTTAAAAAAAATATTTCTCTTCCTCCACAACAAAAGAAGACTAAGTCAATGAGAAAAGATCACTTACCATGTTGTTAACATTTTTTAAGATATTTGTGAGGCCGCTAATAACCAGAGAGAACTTATACTTGGAAATGTTGATGAGACATTCCTTGTTATGTTCCGTGCTGACTTTGGTGTGAGTATTCTGCTGGCTGGTTTTGATCGGAAGCTGCAATAAAAGGAAGTTTTGGAAAGCTGTTATACAGAACAAAATTTACAGTAGTACAGTTTATTATGCGAGGATTAGAGAGCCAGTTTGGCCCAGTGGCTAAGTTGCTGTCCTAGAAACCAGGAGACTGCGAGTTCTTGTCCTGCCTTAGGTATGAAAGTCGGATGGGTGACTTTGGAGACCAACCCACTTCACAGGGCTTTTGTGGGGAAAATAGGAAAAGAAAGGAGTATTGTGTATGTTCACTGCCCTGAGTTACTTACAAAGTAATAAGGGCGGGATAAAAATCAAATAAATAAATAAATGCACAATAGGTCAACAATCAGCATTTTCTGATTGTCGCCACCTTTTCATTCTTGTAAAATCAAAGCATCCCAGAGGAAGGCAATAGCAACCACTTCCAGACTAGTCAGAAACAAAAACAGAGATGTCCATGTAGCACCAAAAATCAACCTCAACTTTAAGGACATTTTATTTTTTAAATTAACATGGTTTAACCTTTATTTAAATTATCACAGCTCTGAGTAAGCAGATCCCAGGTCTCCCCTCCATCTTTGGAGTCACACCAAGGATTGCTATACTGAGTTCACTAAGAGTAAAGGCAACTTTAATGGATATTTGACCCTTCTGACATAGCCAGACAAGAGCTAAATTATCTAACATAGGGGCAGAAGGCTACGGCCAATCCAAGTTTTATTTTAGTAACCAGTAACTATTTTTTTAAAAAATGAAGAACTTTGATTTTAATGTATCCAATATTTAACCCCCACCCAAAAATAGGCTC